TTCCTCTGTATCTCGTTTGCCGCTCGCGACTCCGACTTCGTCGTCGATCGTTTCCTCATCGTCGTTCCTCGTCGAGATTTCTTGCTCGAGGTTTCTGACTCTTGAACCGCGTTGTCCTGCCTCTTGCTCCTTTTTGTCGATCGTTTCACGGTGTTGTCGCTGTTGGTCTGCGACTTGTCGGAAGCGTCCTCGCCAGCCAGCGACGCCTCGCCTTCCTGCAGCTCGCGCAACTCGTCGAACCTCGCGTTGTTCTCCTCGATCTCCCTCAGACGCTGGCTCTCCTCGATCTCTCGTTTGATCTGCTCCTTGATCGAGTCGATCTTCCGCTGAATCTGCTCTTCCACTCGTCTTTGGTAGCCTTCCCCAGCGGCGTTGTTCGCCACGTCGGCAACTTTCGACTCCGCCACTTTGCCGGATAATAAATCGGTTCCCTGATTGCCGGTCCTCGCGTCTGTCACGATTCCCGAATTCAGGCGCTGCTCGTTCTGAAGTTTCACAGTCTCGCCGATCAGTTTCTCATTATTCGATCCCGAGCCTTGGCCGCAATTCTCGCTCTTCTCCGCAACATTTTTCTTCGACTGATCGTTAGAATCCTTGCCTGCTTCACTCGCTGTTGCCTCGGCCGCTTTGTTGTCGGACACGGTGTCTCGTTTCGAGGACGTCTCTGCTGTTTTTCGATCGCTGGACGAGTCGCCAGACGCTCCGGGATTCCCCGATTTTTCCTCAGAATTCTCCGATTCTCCCTTCGTGTTCTCGTGTTCCCTCTTCACTCGAACGTCGCTGTGTACCTCTCTCTTCTCAGTTTCCTCGTCCTGGATCAATGAATTTCTTCTGAGAGCTGCGGTGTCTTCCGCAGCTCCGACAGCGTCGTCGTCCACCTCTTCGTAGTCCTCAGCTCCGGAGGCTCCTCTCTTCACCACGTCCTTCGATTCGAAGTCGTCGTACAGGTTCGATCTCTCCTCCTGATCGATGAACCCCGCGGAATCTTCGTTCGCGCGGAGATCGTTGCTCTTGTACCTTGGTGAGTACAGTTGTTTAATTAATTAATTGTTATTAAACAGTTTTAATTTTAAAAGACAAGCGTTAAGATCTCGATTTAAAAAAAATAAAACAATGTTATTTTAAAAGATTTCAATACGTTTAATTTTTTAACTTGCCAAAAGTGCACTTTGAGCGCGTCGCGAGATATTCATTGTTAACTCGTCATGCCCACACTAAATCCGAAACGATACAAATTGCACTTTTACACGATCAAACGACAGAGATCCCAAGAAAGTATATCGTTCATTGATAAATAAAGCAGCATTTCAATTAAAAATTAATTTTATTTGACTATGTGTTAATCGTCGATATTTCGACGATTAATTTCGTTTGATCAGTGATTAACGATTAATTTCATTTATCGATTAGATCGGTCGCCGATTTCTCGACGATTAATGCAGAAACCTTTCGGTCAAGGGAGAGGGAAAAAGTTATAAAATCTCATTTTCCTTAATCTTTTTTCGCTTGAATGAAGGAAACGTATATATATATATAAAAATATATAAAACAAAAGAGATTTCAAAAGTCAGTGATTCAAGCAAATCGATATAGCTTGCTGAAATAAAATGGTCTCGAGTGTTGCACAAATCTGGCGAAAAGAAGAATAGAATCAACTTCGTCGAAATTTGCACTATTTGCTCGATATTTCACGTAGATTTTGACGAGCATAGTGGCGACAAGCTCTTCACTGTCAACAAACAATTTGTAAAACAATGGCAAAATTTCGTGAAATCGTAAATTGATAGAATTTCCTTGGAAGAACGTAGAAAAAAAATTTTTTTTTTTTTCATAGTACATGTTATAAATTTATCCAAATATAATACGCATATATAATGTTTATCAAATCAGAGGCCCAAGGATTCCTGGATCCCCCCAAATTCAACTAAAAATTTTGATCAAATACCTGGTCTCTTTGTTCCTCGAAGCATCATCCTCAGCTTCGTCCGTATACTCGAATTTCTCTTGATCGACCTCGTGATCTTTGTCTGGAAGCTTCGGAAGAGCGGCCTTGGAATAGCGACTGATTCTCGAACTGCTTTTACCACGTTTGTCAGAAATCGAGCGTTCCTCGTTCAAGCTTCTCGAACTGCCGGATTGCACTTTGTCACGTTTCATCCTCACAAGACGTTTGTCGGCGTCTTCGTGGTGGACAGATTTGCTCGTTTCACTGCCGACGTTGCTTCTCTGTTCGCCGGATCCTCGAAAAATTCGCTCGATCGACGGATCCAACTTGCCGTTCCGGTTCTCGGTCGCGTAATCATTCGCCACCGCGTTGCTGGTACGAATTCGTTCGAAATTCACGTACACGATTCAAGTGAAATAAATATATTGTTCTATAATCTAAAGTATTGATTATGTCTAAATATTAGTAGATATTCTAAATATTAATTATCTAGAGGTGAGGAT